CCACCAAGGAGATCTGGACTTTAACACTTTCTTTGGTAGATTCAGATCTCTTTGGGCAGAGCTTGAGATGCTGAGGCCAGCCACTGTCGATGCTGAGACTTTGAATGAAAGAAGAGAGCAAGATAAGGTCTTTGCTCTTCTCATGGTCTTGAACCCAACTTACAATGATCTGGTGAAGCACATGCTCAGATCCAAGACTCTACCAAGCCTGGAGGAAGTTTGCTCTCAGATCCAGAAGGAACAAGGCTCGTTGGGTCTCTTTGGTAACAAAGGAAGTGACTTGGTGATGGCCAACAAGAGTGAAGCTGTAGCGACCAACAAGGGTGCTTATGGTGGTGAGGAGCGAGAAGTGTGGGTATGTGAGCACTGTAAAAAGAAGGGTCACTTGAAGAACAAGTGCTGGATCTTGTACCCACATCTCAAGCAAAGCCGCAAGGACCAGAGGAAGCCAAGGGCGAATGAAGCTCATGCTCATGAGGAGGCTGGCCCCTCAGACCGTGAGAAGGAAGGTGTTGCTATGAGGGCCTCAGCTGAATATGTGAAGAAATCAGACCTGGATGCTCTCATTAAGGCTCTTAAAGAGTCTGGTAAACCGATTAAAGCCTTTAGTTTTCATGCATTACATGATCATAACTTGACTAATCAGATCGCTAATACTGTTGTGCATGATCATTCTTTAGATAATCATTCTGCTAATCATGCCTTGAAAAGTGATAAACCGCTTATTGTTGACTCTGGAGCTAGCCATCATATGATTAGTGATGCTAAACTGATTAGTAACATGAAACCTGCATTAGGGAATGTGATTATTGCTAATGGTGAAAAGGTTAAGATAGAAGGCATTGGTGATCTTAAGCTATTTGATAAACAATCTAAAGCATTTTACATGCCCTCATTCACATCTAATCTATTGTCGATTAAGAAAGCAACTACTGATCTAAATTGTTATGCTATATTCAGTCCTAATGAGGTTTTCTTTCAGGATATTGAGTCAAGTAAGCTTCTTGGACAAGGAATAACCAAGGATGGTCTTTATGTTCTTGAAGATACTGAGCCATCCTCTCTATCTAATGCTTTTGTTTTTAGTTCTGCTGTTGAGAATAATGCTTTGTGGCATGCTAGATTGGGTCATCCTCATCATAGATCTTTGAACTTGATGTTGCCTAATGTTAAATTTGAAAACAATGCTTGTGAGGCGTGTATTTTAGGCAAACATTGTAGAACTGTCTTTCCTAAATCATCTACTATATATGAAAACTGTTTTGATTTAGTTCATTCTGATGTGTGGACCTCTCCTTGCATGTCTAGAGAGAATCATAAATATTTTGTTACCTTTATTGATGAGAAGTCTAAATACACTTGGATAACCTTGTTGCCATCTAAAGATAGGGTGCTAGAGGCTTTTATGAACTTTCAAAAATATGTAACTAACCATTATAATGCTAAGATCAAAGTGTTTAGATCAGATAATGGTGGAGAATACACAAGCCAGGCCTTTAGACAACACCTTATTCAGCATGGTATAGTGCACCAAACGAGCTGCCCTTACACTCCTCAGCAAAATGGAGTTGCTGAGAGGAAGAACAGGCATCTTATGGAGGTGGCCAGGTCTCTAATGTTTCATATGAACGTACCCAAGAGATTTTGGGGAGATGCTGTAGTCACGGCCTGCTATCTGATCAATAGGCTTCCCACAAGAATCCTCCAAGATTCTTCCCCATTTGAGGTATTAAACCAATCCAAACCATCAATCGATTATCTAAAAGTATTTGGTTGTGTGTGTTTTGTCTTAGTACCAGGGGAACAGAGGAACAAACTTGAAGCAAGTACCAATACTCTTGAAACA